TCTGACAATGACCATAACAATGGTGATGACAACATGGAGGAAGCTGAGAGTATTTTTGCCAGCAAGACCCAGGGTCACAAAAGAAATTCTTGGTCAGGGTTTGAAAATATTTGTTTTACAGAAATCAACACATCCAAATCCCTTCAAGCTCTTTGTGGGTGGATACTGTTTTGTTTCTGTATCTTTGTATCTCCCCAGCTAGCTCAATACCCTGCATAGAGTAGGTGTTTCATGATTTGTTGAATTGACTTAAACTTCAATTATAAATTAGAGTCTGATTCTTCATTTTACAAATGTACGAGCCCAAGAATTTCCCTAGTTAGCAACTCTTCTAGTGCATTTAAAGGATGGGTTAATTTATAAACATTTTTTACGGAATAGGGGGAAATCATAGACTCTTAGAAGAGGTGGAAAAGATCTCAGAAGCCAGTGAATGGAGTTCCTAGTAACATGTATTGCTTAAAAGAAAATATGTCTCCAGAATGGGATACAATCTTCTCTTCAAACAGCAAGGTAGGACCTGAAGCAGGGTATCTGGAGGGATAGATTGTTGCTCTTCCCATCTTGGAAAAAAAAAGTAAAACATCCTGTGGTCACATATCCTGCCTGAGAGTTAAATTAATAGTCCTGCTGTTCCTTTGGGAAATCTGCTAATTGTCTTCAGATATGTTTAAAGGAAAGTCCCTTTTAAAGGAAATGTTTGGAAGTTCTTTTTTTTCTGCCCTTGATCATGATTGTGTTAAGCAAGGCTCAGAAAATTTGGAGGAGGTCCAGAAGCAACAAAGAAAATGACGAAAGGGTTGAGAAAGAGACACCATGAATGAAGATGTAAAGAATTAGATTAAGTAGATTTACAGAAGGCTGGATGTGGGAGGGAGTGATGACGAAAGGTAGGGGAGAATCAATGAATGAGCCCCTTCAAGTCTATAAAAGGCTAACCTTCTGAGCTTCTCATCTTCATTTCTACCACAGAATGGATTTATCTTCCTCAGGAGGAATTCAGATTAGTAAAGAAGAACAACTCCCCATCTTGAAATGTATCTGTGAGACAAGGGAATAGGGGAGGTCAGGTGGGAGGATCTTTAGTTCCTGAGACAGGAAGATCTAAACCAGTGCATTCTGGGTTGGTCACTTTGTCACCTCATTGAAAAAGTACCCAATTGGCTGATTTAAGAAGGAGTCCAAAAATCCAGGCCTGTTCATCAGGCTTTTACTTTAACAGGTGTGTGGATAAATTCCCTAGCAAGAACGAGACTGATGAGAGGTAAAGCAACTGATGATGCTGTCTCAATGTCAACTTGACTTGACAGTGCTCTACTGGAGGAGAGGAGAGTAGAGCAGAGCAGAACAAAGCAGAGTGAAGGAGAAGAGAGGAAGAGAGAGGAAGGAGGTGTTCCATTAAAAACTGGCTCAACATTTCCATATTCTCTTCCAGGTAGTGTTTCCTGCTTAACTCCACCCAACTCTGATTGCCTCTGGTTCTTCCATTCATTCTGAATTCTTTCATTAGTCCTTTTCCAATTGGACTTAGCGTTTTCCATGCTTTTGCACTTGACTGAGTCATAAGCTGGGTATTTTATCTTCTCCATCACATTGAGAACCTTCCATGGGTAGAGACTGTTACCAGACCCAATTCCACATGTATTTGTTGAGTGTGTAGGACCTTCTGGGTCTCCCTCTATTGTTCAGGACAGGCTCTACACATAGGGAGCCTTATATTGTGTTGTGGACCAAGTGACTTTCAGGATGCATCTCAATGCATTTATTAACTATCTGAATAAAATAATTTGAATGACTGTCAAAGGTTTAAAAATAATTGTCTGGATTTTACAATTATGTCCTTTTGGAGCTAGTGAGTATGCACACCAAACTCAATTAGTCCGAGTTCCATCTTCTGAACTAAGTGAAGGTCCCTGAGAAATGGAAAGGAATTGAAATGGGGAGTGCAGAGCTGAAAATAGTCAGGGAAGGCTTCCTATAAAAGTAGAGAATGAAGTAGGATTTACCAGAAGCAGAACTGACCTATAGAGAGAAGAAAGGAGACTGTGCTGTACTACTTTGACTTATGTGCCAAACTGTACTGACTTACCACTTCTTTTCCTGTGGCCAAAACCCCTTTGTCCAAAATTCCAAAACAGTGCCTTAAAAACAAAGGAGACACTTCCTAAGTTGTTGAATATTCAATGACAACTGAGATTGCTAGCTGCATTTGCCCAAGGAGGGTAATGACATCACTATTGATGTTATAGTTAACTCTACCTGACTCAACAGATGATCTCCTTAGGTGATATACCCTCTGTCCTAGTTCTCAACTTTTGGCATCCCTCTGCACTGAAAGCTTCACAAGAGGGCAAACTGAGGAAGGGAGAGGTTGAGGAAAACTCAGCTCAGACCTTTCTCATCTACATCGGCAACCACAACCAAAGTTAAGTGGAGGAGGTCATTGGATTATTGGATTTAAAGCCGAAGGGACCTTTGGCGTCATAGAGTCTAACCCAGGACTTCTGTTTCCAAGTCCAGCTGGTGGGCTCTTTCCATTTTTTCATTGTCTTTTAAATCTAAGTCTCTTTCTCACCCACAACTCCCTGGAACAGATGGGAGTTAAACTGGAACACATTCCTGGATTTCAAATATAGGGACTTGACCAGAATCCCTAGGGAATCCAACTTTAGAATTTGTTTTCATTTTTAAATTTTGTTTGTTATTAACTTGAAGACTAACAAACATGAATATTTCAACAAATGAAGGAAAACAGGAAAGACAATTGTATATGAAACTGTGAGTTTCTATTACATTCATTCTTGGAGGATGTCAAACATCTGGTCTCAAAGGCCAGAGATAAGAATAGCAAACTTGTAACTGTGGCAGCAAACTTCAAGACATAAGATCAGGGTGATCAAGTCTGCTCCTTCTTTGTGTTTTAGCCCTTGAGGACTGATCTTGATTATGTGAGTGAGAGATCTGAGTTTCAAGGTATCAGAATGCTGTTAGGTGGTAGTACTGCCTATAAAATGATCTGAGAGCTGGTTTTGTCACTAAAGGCAGGGGTAAGGAAGATATAGAATTAGAAATACTTTCACTTGGGGAAAGAAAAAAATGAGTTGAGGTTGAAAGATTAAAAAAAAAGGTGTGTGATTTGCCTAGGTAGTAAGTGGAAGAGATAGGAAGTGAATTCAAGTCTTAAGACTTCAAAACCAGAGTTCTTTCTAGTATAGAACATGGTTGTGTTTTGTTTTGTTTTATTTTGTTTTTGAGGCAATTGGGGTTAAGTGACTTGCCCACCATCACACGGCTAGTGGGTACCATATGACCGAGGCTAGATTTGAACTCAGGTCCTCCTGACTCCAGGGCCAGTGCTCTATCCACTGTGCCACCTACCTGCCCCAACACATTGTTTCTTGAAGCAGATGTGGAAACTGAGTTTCAGACAGGGGTAGTCATCTGCCCAAGATCACATAGCTAGTTTTGAAGAGGCAGATCTAGCTGTGAGGGAGGTCTTCAAATATTTTAAATATTTGAATTTAAAATTCAAATTTGAAGTTTAGATATTTATAATTTTACATACTTCACATCTGTCATGAGACAAAGCAATGAGAACTGTTCTTTGATCCTAGAGGCCAGAACCAAGAACCATCAGTGAAAGTTTCAGAGAGGCATATTTAAGAATTGAGTTAAGAAAAAAACCTTTTGATTAGAACCATCCCAAAGTGGAACAGACTGTCTTGAAAAGTCATAGGATCAGAAATTTAGACCTTATACAGCACCTTGGAGATGATAGAATCTAACCCCCTCATTTTACAGATGAGAAAACTGAAGGTCACATGAGCACTGCATAGCAGAGCTGAAATTCAAATGCAGGTTCTCTGACTGAACCAAATGTTCTTTCCATGTCACCATAGTAATTGGTTTCTCCATTCTGAAGGTCTTTAAGCAAAGGCTGGAATACTACATATCAGATATGTCATAGAGGGGATTCTTGTCCACCTGAGTTGGAATTGGCATTGGAATTGATAGTGGCATTGGATTTTGAACTGATAGCTTTGAGGTGCCTTCTAGACTTGACATCTTGTGGTAACCTCTACTCCATGTTGAAGAGGACTTTGGAGGAGAAAGAGGGTGGGGACTTGCAAAGAGTGATATGAGATTTCACTTATCTCCTCAGTGCCCCATGTAAATCTCTAGAAGTATAACTTGCAAAACAAGTTTCTATCAACACTGGTAGAAAGGGTTTCTTCACTGGGAGTTGTCTACCTCAGTGAAATCACAGCTCTGGGGAAAATAAAACTACAGGAAAATGAATCCTAGCTGCAAGAACCCCAAGTGTTGGAGAGAAGCCAAGTGGAAATATTGTCCCTTGCTGGAGGGGTCAGAGGAACCATCACTGCCTCGAGTTTTGGTGAAGGTGACTCACAACTGGGCACCATGGCCTCAGCAATATGAAATGGGGTGGCTAGGGCAGCAGTTGCTCTACATGGTGGCACATACCCATCATATGAGGCAAACTCTAAGGGAAGGCTGTCATTCCCTGGATGTCTCCTTTTAGGGAGGAAGCCTACTCCCTAAATGTAGAAGAAATCTGTCTCTTATGTCAGTACTTAGTGGCAATCCTCACCAGCCATATGTTGTAACAACTCTGATGTAGTAGATGATTAGAGCAGGGGCTCATAACTTTGTTATCTGCAGGGTTATTTGGTTTATTTATTCTGAGGAGGGTTTACCTCCTCAGAATATTGTTTTATAAATGAATAACTTTTAAATACATAGGATTGCAAAGGAAACCAATTGTACTGAAACACAGTTATAAAAATATTTAAATAAGACATATTCATGACCCCCCTGAAATTAGCCACAGACTCTTGAAAACCAGAATTCCTGGACTAGAATCTTCTCCAAGTGAGAGGGAGGTTAGAGGATTTAAAAAAAAAAAAGGTTTGACAACCACAGATCTTGTATAAAGGCAACTCCAGACAATAGCAATATATATTATAAATCTGCTTTATTAGACAAGTATAAGAGATGGAAGGGACCAAAGAAACACCCCACAAGGATACAGTTTCTGTATTTTATCTGCTTATATCACCTCTGCTTTCTGGGACACTGCAAGAAAACACCAGTACCACTTCTTTTTAGCACATAGGGATTCAACAGAGGTGCAGTTCCAGATGGCCAGCTGAAGGTGGCCAAGTACACGATGCTTCTTTCAGATCCAAAGTGAGTGTCTGTTGCTAAAAAGAACATTTAGGTGTTTTTGCAAGTCCTCTGACTTAGGGACTTAAAGACAATAGGTGGATATTCTGATAGCTGGACAGGAGGATCAGATGGAACTTGTGTGACCCTGCACACTGACGATATTCTCAACAATCTCGTGACTGGAAGTTCACACTCAGGGACTATAATTCAGTTGGTGAATATGTGGCATTTAAAATTTTGGACCCAAGTCTGGATGCAAGAGAAGATCAAAGGTTGGAGGGGGGGGCACGTCTAGAAATCAACCCCAACATCTTCCGCAGACAAAAGGATGGCAGCCTTGATTCTAAGGGTTAGGAACAGGAAGCAGGAACTTGAGGCATTCCGGAGCCAAGAATCTGGTAGACACGTTAGTGCTTGTAACTCTTCTTAGTGGAAGATGTGGTTGTGGTGTACTTTACGCTGGTGCTGCTGCCCCCCAGGGAGCCTCTCCCACTGCCAGCGCTGAAGCCACCTCCAGCGCTGAGTCCTCCTCCCACACTGTAGCTGCCGCTGCTACCATAGGAATAACCACTTCCTCCACTCAGACCAAAACCACCGGCAACACCACTGCCACTTCCATACCCGCTGGAGACTGTGGAGCTCACAACAGCTGTGGAAGGAATGGAAAAAAATGTGCGTTGAGACCCCACTAAGCCAGAAAGCTACTGAAAAGTGAAAGCAAAAGTGGGAACCATCAAAGATACTTACAGATGTTGACTGGTCCAACACCCTCTCCACTCATTCTGTGTGGGGAGGAAACAAAGGTTATATTTCAGAAGACTGAATTTGGGACAAAGTGGGATGATTCCAGAAGTTTCCCCAGTGGCCTTTAGGGTAACCAGTTTACTCTGTGTTTTCTCAAAAAGAGCTCAATGCTTCTGAGATTCTGCTCAGTGCTTTAATGGCTGAGGCGACCTACCACGCAAAGCCCAGAGAACAAGTACCCACCTGCACTCCTCTCCCTCCAGCAGCTTCTTGTAGGTGGCGATCTCTATATCCAGGGCCAGCTTGACATTCATCAGCTCCTGGTACTCACGCAGCTGGCGGGCCATGTCCTGTTTGGCTCTCTGAAGAGCATTTTCCAGCTCCTCTAATTTGGCCCTGGCATCCTTGAGGGCCATCTCACCCTTCTGCTCAGCTTCAGCAATGGCATTCTGCAGGTTGGCACACTGCAGGGAAAAAGAAAGAGACCTTACTTTTTCTTCATTTGAACCGGGATACAATTAGGAAAGCAGCTGGAACTCATCAATTCCAGCCCTTCTCCTTAGCACCAATCCTTGTTATCAGCAAGCCCCAATTTAATGTTGGTCTGTGTTAGCCATGTCAAATGTGGAAATGAATGGCAATGGGTAGGATATGGGCCAGCCATAGTAAGGACAGGGCTCTTTAAGTGCTAGAATCATATGGGTAGATTAGTTGTGAGGAAAGAACTTAGTAGCTCCTACCATGGTCCCTGGACTGAATTGTCATGGTAGCAGTGATGAAGGTGTCCAGAGAGGAAGTGCAATGTTGGCCCAGAAAAACAGCTATAGCCTACCTGCTTCTTGACGTTATCGATCTCGGCTCTCAGCCTCTGGATCATTCGGTTTATTTCAGAGATCTCGTGCTTGGTATTGCGGAGGTCATCCCCATGGCGGCCAGCTGTGATCTGTAGTTCCTCATACTTATAGGACAGAAAAAGGAAGAAAAGGAGAGAAAGACAGCATCAGCATCACACTGAAATGCTTCCCAGATTGTGTCAGTGTTTCTTCATGGGATTCTCTCTAAATGCTCACTAGGACAATTTAACTCATCCTTCATAAGCAAGCTATTAGGGAGAATGGATTTTCATATCACAATGTTCTGTTTCCCAAATGAAAAAGGGGGTGGGGGAGGACTCTAACCTGCCCTTAACTATCTGGTAGGTTAGTATGGAGATTAAAAACAACCCAGTTACTTCCCCCTTATCTCACCTTGGTCTGGTACCAGGACTCAGCTTCAGCCCTACTCCTCTTAGCAATATCTTCATACTGAGCCTTGACTTCAGCAATGATGCTATTCAGATCCAGAGAGCGGTTGTTGTCCATGGAGAGGATGACAGAGGTGTCAGAGATGTGGGTCTGCATCTGGGACAGCTCCTAGAGGACAGAGACAATCAGTTGTACCATCTTTAGTCAGTAGGAAGCATTCCCAGGGGATCTGGGAATTCTGCCAACAGGTCCCCTAGCCCAAACCTTTATTAGATGATATTTCAAGGCCTAATGGATCTGAGATGCCAGGCTTAAAGTTTTACATATTGAATATTCAGCATGCTTCCTTTGGCACCTGTCCCTTAGTAAACAACTTTTTTTTTTTTGGAGAACAAAGATAGAATTCTTACTGCTTCATATAAGGCTTTCAAGAAGTTGATCTCCTCTAGGAGGACGTCTGCATTGGCTTGCAGTTCAACCTTATTCATATAGGCAGCATCAACATCCTGGATGGGGAAAACACAAGAATTCAGCCAATGAGATCTTCTTTCTCCTACAGCCAAACACAGAATGTGTACTTGGACACAGGCTTCCTCTTTCTGCAGCCTGTCCCCTATAATCAATCAACTCACCTTCTTCAGCGTCACAAATTCATTCTCTGCTGCTGTGCGCTTGTTGATTTCATCTTCAAACCTAGACAGAAGGAGAAAGGAAAGATGGTTGAGTCAATGGCCAATAGGACAGGGTGAAACCAGCCTGAAATCCAAGATCTCCCCCAAAATGGACCATTCCCATGTGGATCTGGATCATGAATTTCCCTTCATTGATATGAAGAGGTGAACTAACACAGGGCACACTAGGAAATTTAAGAAATATAGTTGTGATCTCTGACCTTCTTTACTACCCCACCACCCCCATTTTGTCCTCTTAGGGATGATACAGAATAGCGTGAGGTGTTTACTTCCTCTATGAATCTTTTGTAGTCTGCACACCAGCTGTTTCCTCCTTTCTTCTGGTCTCCATCCATCCCACACACTTTTTCTCTTTTCTACTCTTACTCTCTCACTTACTTGTTCTTTTTTTTTTTTTGGCTAGGCAATTGGGTCAAGTGACTTGCCCAGGGTCACGCAGCTAGTGAGTGTTATGTGTCTGAGGCCAGATTTGAACTCAGGTCCTCCTGAATCCACGGCCGGTGCTCTATCTACTGCACCACCTACCGGTCCTTCACTTACTTGTTCTTGGAGTCTTCCACTTGATCTTGCATGTTTCTCAGCTCACCATCCAGAGAACCTTTCTCACGTGTGATTCTGTCCAGTTCTGCCCTGAGTTGGCTAATATAGGCCTCAAACAATGGCTCCAAATTTTGTTTCACAGTCTTGGTGCCCTGTTCCTGGAGCAGTGTCCATTTGGTATCCAAAACCTTGTTTTGTTGTTCAAGAAATCGTACCTGGAGAATGGAAGAGAAAGTCAGTCCCATAAAGCGTTCCCAGAGCTGGTGGAAGTCAGTACAAGAAGGCAATAATGCCATCAATGGTTGTATGACCTTCTCCAAATTGTAGCAGGGCAGCAAATCCTTATGATGTCATATTGTGAAGAGAGGTTTTGACGATGGCAATTCTCTACTCAAATTCTACTGGCAATCCCCAATTTTCCTGTGGGGGGTTGCCCAGTCACCATCTCTACCAACAGATTTAAGCAAAACCTACCTTCTTCTGCCTCTTCCTTATCTCATCACTTTAGTTTTTTAGCTGTAATTGAATTTTAAGAAGACAATTTGTCCACTCTAGAGTACAAAGTGGGTCCTAGAATCTTAATGTTGGAAGTGACTTTAGAGGACAGCTAAGTCACACCTCCCACCCAATGCAAGAATCCCTTATGCAGAACCCTTTCAAGCCTCTGACTGAAAGCAGTAGTTAATTTCAATTCATTTCTATGTTTTAAAGTGTCCAAGAATTCGTTGCCCTTCCTATCGTGATGCTTCTTGAGTGAACCGAACATATCTTTTGTTTTACTTGTGTCTTCCTATGCTAGGATCAGAGAATCATAGCCTTAGATAAGATGAAAGGGATCTTAGAGGTCAATCAGTGCAATCCCCTCCTTTTACAGGTGGGGATCCTGAGACTCAGAAAGGGTGACTTGCCTAAGATCACACAGGTTGTAAATAGTAGCCCTGGGATTCAAATGCTGGTCCTCTGACTCCCAAGTTGGGTAGAATTTTCTCTGTACCATGCTGCCTTACTATGCCATAAAAGCTCAATTATTATTGGCTGACAAAAATTTCTCACCACTCCTCAGCATATTCCAGCAATGAGAGAGCAACCCACATTTTAACTTGTTCTCTTCACATGTCATAGGGTTATTGACATCTGAGAATTCTCCCCATCCATGGAGAAGAGGAAAAGTTTCCAAGAAACTAAACTTATGGATGTAGTTATCCCTTTCCTTAATCATCAGGCAATCATTAGTTGGGCAAGCTTCCCAATGCAGAGAGAATTTGAGTCTTTCTTCTCTCTCATTCCCAAGTCTATCTTGGCAGGAAGTTAAGTACAAAGATATGCACTGATTTTCAGGGGACTCTGAAATACATGATGGTTGGTATGTCTTAGTGTCTTACCTTGTCAATGAAGGAAGCAAACTTGTTGTTGAGGGTCTTGATCTGCTCCCGCTCTTCAGTCCTCACTCTCTGGATGGTGGGGTCAATTTGCAGGTTGAGGGGAGTCAGAAGACTCTGGTTGATAGTGACTTCTTGGATTCCACCAGGGGGGCAGACAGGAAACCCAGCTCCTCCATAGCCACCACCAAAGCCAGCTCCACCACCAAATCCGAAGCCACCACTGACTCCGCTGCCGAAACCATATCCACCTCCCATTCTTCCACTATATCCACTCTGGTAGCCACTGCTGCCTCCTGCCATGGAGATCCTCTTGGACCTCCCTAGGTTGTAAAGGCTTCGGCTGCCAAAACCAGCTCCCCCAGAGATTCCACAGGCCCTTCCAAAGCCACCACTGCCCCCAGAACGGCACACAGACACAGAGCTGAAACCTGACCGGTTAATGCCAGGGGTGATGGCAGAGTTAGCACTGAAGCCACTCCGGCCACTTCTTTGAATCCTGACTGTAGACTGAGAAGACATGATAGCTTGGTTTTGCTCAAAAATGAGAAGACTGAAGAGATAAAGTTAAAGCCAAAGAGGACCAGAGAGGAGGAGGAGAAGGACTGTGTGAGGCTGAGATCCCAGCAATGGTTTTATATAGGGAGACAATAGGGTTGGGTCCAATGTATGAAGATGAGCTTGCAGGTGGGGAAGGGCTGGGCTTTACAAATAGTGAGATCACTCCCACCTTGCTGGAGGAGGTATGAAAGACCAAGATTGCTTTTTTGGCTTCCGTTAGTCATAGAGAAATTCTCTAGCCTTCCAGCCTTAACTTGATCCCTAGACAATAAAGACAGTATGCAAATTCACTGAAGTCATCTACGAGTCATGTTTCTAAACAGGGAGACAAGGAGCTGATCTGTGGTAATTGTGCTCTCCTCTGCTTACTCAGATGTGTCCCCCCCAAGTCTCTCCCTCTACCAGCGCCACTCTCCACCCAGGTAGGGTGGGACTTTGCCATAGGGCAGTTAGGCATTTACTCAATGGTTAGTGTGTGTGTGTTTGTGTGTGTTTGTGTTTCTAAGGAGGCAAAGAATAACTTCTTCCTAACATCCTGGTGATTTTATTTGGGTAGAGAGAAGGAGAGAGAGAGGGCACAGTTTGATGATGCCTGACAGCAACAGAGCCCGGTGTTGCCCTCCACCCATTGTCAGCAGGTCTTTAGGGAACTTTTCTGAGAGAAAAGGCAGGCATAGTCTGAACTGGGACTCTCTGACCTGGCGTTTGAAGGAAGGGGTTCAGTTCAATTCAGCAACCATTAATATGCATTATCATGTGCAGTGCATTCTGCCTTAACATTTTACTGGAATGATATGCCATGTGTACTCTTAGGTAAATACAAGGTAACTTAGGGAGAGAAAGATCACTAACAATTCCAAGACGTAATTTTGTCCAGTAGAATGTGAGCCCTTTGAGGAAAAGGTCAGTTATTTTTTGTTCATTTTGTCTGAGTATCTCCAATGCTACCACAATTCCTGACTTGTTAGATTAGATGGAGTGGACATTGTCCATTGTTCTTTTCACTTAACTCGCTACCTTAGCTTTTCTGCTAAACTGTCATAGCACATTTTCCCCTCCACTTTCTGCTTCCTTGAATTGTCCACCTGCAGCTAGCATTGAGAACACAAAATGAGTTAATGGAGCAACATATCATTAAAGAAACCACTAGTGATTGAGGCATATCTTCAGAATCAGGTGTCAAGGCTTATGGAGGGGCAAAAGGGTATTCAGCCATGAGTCACAGGTATTTGTACTTACAAGTGGAGTCATGTTAGAGGCACATATCAACCATATATTTCTGATCTTGCTTGCAAATTCAAATCCTAGCAGAGCTGCTCAGGGGAGTGTGTTGGGTAGGAGGGAGGGAGAGTACTGTAATTTCAAACTGACAGTTCTTTTGCTGAGGAAAGGAGTTACATGTTATTATCTCTTTCCTGATATTAGCTTTCAGTGCTTTGCATCAATGTTTTTGAGAACAGTTCCAGAGATGTCCATATTCTAGGAGCAAATGAGAGAAATAAGGAAATTTGAGTGATCTTGTTTCTCTCAGCACAGTGAATTTTTCTGATGCAATCTTCAGCTTTTGACCAAGCAATTGGATGTTTCCAGCCCTTTTGGGTGGTCATCACCCCCCCCATGGGTGGAATGTTCTCTGCCACCAAAGAAGGTGCCAACTCAGCATCTGGCTTGGCAAATGGCTCCTGAGGATGTTGGAAACAGCATTCCGCCCTCCACCCTAGTTGCCCAACGGGATTCCAAGAATGCGCTTCCACCCAGTTCTGGGAAAGAAATGTTCCTTCTCGGGGCAGGGTGTCCCTGACTAGGATCAGCGGTAAGGGACTTCAGAGACAATCTATTCCAACACCTTCATTTTACAGATGAGGAAACAAAAACATAAAGAATTTCAATGACTTGGTTAGGGTCATAGAGGTAGTAAGTGGCAGAAATAGACTTTAAATTTAGATCCTCTATCCTAAGTCCACTAATCAATCTAGTGTTTACCACTCTATTATATAGATTCTACCCCCATTGTTTTGAGATCAGTGCCTTAGACTTGACTTCAGCATCAAAAAGAAGGTAGGAAGACCTGATAAGAAGGATGATACAATATCAGATAGCCCATGGGATATTTGGCCAACAATGTGGAATAGACTTTAGGAATAGACTTTCTCTGAGTGGGGGTGGGGGTGGAGGAGCAGCCCATACCCACAAACTTCTTTTTAGGCATCTAGCATCTGAATGACCCTAACTTGCTTATCAAAGGCCTCATATCCCTGCTGATTACACTCTCACATCAACACCCCTGCTTCTCCTTTTCTTTCTTTATAAAAATTAAATTGATAATACTATATTGATATTGTATTATGATAATATTATATATTGATAACTTCTTTTCTTTTTTCAACATTGTCGTCACTTCCCATTGACTGTCCTTTCCTCCCTAAAATATATCATCCTTTTATAACAAATAAGTACAGTCAAACAAAACAAATATGCCCCAAAATGTTTGCTTCACTCTTCATCTCTAAGTCACCACTCATCTGCTGAGAGGTGGAAGGCACACATGACCTAAAATCATGATTCATTAGACGGAACTTGGAAATCTTTCAGCGTTGTTTTCCTACACATTATTGTGATCAGCATGTAAATTGTTCTCCAGGTTCTGCTTATTTCATTCTGAATCAGTTCAGAAAGTCTTTCCAGATCCTCTTTAATTCTAATGCCTTCCCTCTCAGTGTTCGTCATCCCCAATTTATCTTGTATATAGTTTGTTTGCACATAGTTGTTTGCAAGCTGACTCCCCCATTATGCTTGCGAGCATCTTGAGAGTGAAGACTGGTCTTTGTTTGTTTGTTTGTTTTTCTTTGTATCCTCAGCACTTAGTATAGTGCCTGGCACATAGTAGGTACTTAAATAAATGTTTGTTGACTATCTGACACATCTTTCCAGTTTTCTCTGAATGCTTTGTATTCATCGTTTCTTAAGGTATAATAACATTTCATATATATTACAGTATTATTTATTTGATCATCCCTTTACTGATGGACACCTATTTTGTTTTGTGTCCTTACTGCTCTAAAAAGCGTCCTTATAAATATTTTCATACATATAGAATGTCCCAAAAGTCTTAGTGCAGTTTTCAGCTTTAATTACTTTAGAAGTATAAATGCTATATACCTAGAAACCATCACTTAAAACTTTAATTATTAGGGGAGGAAGGGGGAGAGAATTTGGAATGCAGAATTTTAAAAAATCAATGTTAAAAATAGTTTTTAGCTATGATTGGGAAAAAATGAAATATTTAAAAAATTGAAAAGTTTAATTATTTAAATTTCATGTACACTTGTTTAGTTTTGTGGCTTTTGAATAATACATTTTAATGCTAATTTAACCAGGATGGGGCATGGTATATGGGACAGTTTCTGGTTACCATATTGTCATCCTCTTGCTTGGTCCAACCACTCTGGAAAGAAATTTGGTGCTGTATCAGTGACATTATTACTAGGCATATATCCCCAGTGGTCAAAGTCCAGGGGAAGTGACTTGTCTGTACAAAGATATTGACAGCAGCACCTTTTGTAGTAGCTCGGAACTACATACAATGTTTGGACTAGCTCAAAATTTTTCCAAGAAGGCATTGGTGTCTGTGCATGCCTGTGCCTCTGTAATGTTTCTTGCCCTGATTTTTTGCAAGGCTATGTTTACATAACACTGGGTATAGATTAAATGAAAAGTTTTTAAAAATCCATCCTTCCTCTGGCTAATGAATTCAATCCTCAGTGCCTGTTACATGCAAAATTACTGGCTAAGTGCTGGGAGACAGAAGGACAAATAGGATGGAATCCCTGTCCTCAAGGAGTTTACAATCTAGTGAGGGAGCCAACATGCAAACAAATATCTGCGAAGTAAACTATATACAGGATAAATAGGAAATAATTAAAAGAGAGAAGGAACTGGAATTAAGGGGTTAGGGAAGACTTCCTGTAGAAGAGGAGATTTTAGTTGGGACTTAAAGAAAGCCAGGGAGATCAGTAGTCAGAGCGATGGAGGGAGAAAGGAGAAGATACAACTTTGTCCTAGCCTAGAAGCCCCCACTTGCCCCCAGCAGGCCCTGTGAGTTGTGCCCTTGAGGGAGGAGGTAGTTTTAATAAGAGAGTCTCTTCTCTACCTCCTATCCTTCATTATTACCCCCAATTCAATTCATCACGTTGCTTAGATGATAATCTGAATTTCTCTTGATTCCCATCACTGGCCCTAAAAGTCAAATATTGGCAAACTTGCCAATAAAGCTCAATAAGAATTTGTTGAATGAATGAATGATATGGTAGACCCAAAATCTTTCATACCTGAAGATTAAGTCCAGGGAATCTAATTAGTGATAGTTTAGGCAGAGGGGGAAAGGTAGGAAGCATCAGTTTCTTCCCTGCCCTAAGCCCTACTCCTTAGTGACATCAGGAAAATAATCATCTTTCCAGAAGCCCCACCCCTGGAATCCTCAGTAAGTGCTTTAGAATCATGAGAATGTGCCCATCTTGTTAGAGGTGAGTTCATTATTCCACCCCAACACCATTTCCGAAAAGCCATAGTATTCTGGGTATGCTACCTAGACTGTCACCCCCTTTCATCATTGTTATTTCCACTACCCTGCTCTTTTAAAATGCTGTTCATGATCATCTGTACTAGTAACTTCTCCCTCCCCTCAATCCTTGACTTACTTAGAATTGGGAAGGGAAGAGTTGGTGAAAGTGCCTGGTACATAGTAGGTGCTTAATAAATGGTTTTTTGATTGATTCATTCTTTAAGCTTTCCAGCTGGACCACAAGGCTAAGGCCACAACACTGCTAGGTTTGTCCCAATTCACAAGAACAGAACAGGTCGGTCAGTTGAAGGCTACGTCAATATAGACATTGACCCTGAACCTTCTAATCACCTGCCTCCATCAGCAGACCCCTCAGTTACTCTGTCTAGATTTATTCCTCAGTGGTGAGCATACACCTACTCCCTCCTACTCTCCCCATCACTATGATATTGAATCCCCAGCTGCTGAAAAACAAACCTCACTTCCCAAC